GGTCTCAAAATTAATTTTTTTTCAGTTCTACTGGGTTCCTATGTGTTTTCACTCTCTGTGAACACCAAAAGGATCAAGTTCACATTTCAATGTTTGCAGGAAGGGAATTTTAAGCACCAGCCAGTGAGCAATAGGATTCCCCATCCAGCTAAGAAGAATGGAGCAGTTCCTAGATGTAACTGTGCCTAATTAATTTTGGACACTCATCAACACATGGTACAGCCTTGGCCTCCAGCAATATAACAGTAGCCCTGTAAGGTCTGTGGGGAAAAGTCCCTACCAGGCTGTTAGGAATCACTATCACACACCAACTATTAAGAGACCTTTCAATCTCACTTCAATAAATTGATAACAAGCATATTTATGAATGCCCCTTTTGGAAGAATTCCTCAGTAGTCTCTACTGGCTTATTTTCATGTGTCTTCCCAGAAATGACCTCTCCTAGTGCAGAGGAACCTGACATGACAAACATGTGGAATAGCACTGATCAGAACAGTGCCAATTTATTGAATTATATGGCTGATTTTTATCCATAAACCTGAATTGTTCTTGGAAGTCTTCCATTTACAATGGACATGGCCCAAATTATCTTACCTTGCAAGACTTCTATCCAAATTTCTGTGGCTTTGGCTGTAGGAACATATTTGTTTCAGAGAGAGCCAAGCAGGAACCATAGCAAGGCTACTGCTGGCAGCAATTGAGATTTTGTGTATCGGCACTGGGGCTTCACAGACAGCAGCACTGGCTGTGGAAATCACATTATTAGCTCCAACTAAACAGAGCTTAAGCCATTACAAAGTCAGTGGGAGGTTCTAATTGACCTTTGTGGGCTTTGGATCAAGTCCCAGGAAGAATATGACTGAACTGGGCAGCGTTATTGCAACATGCTGTTCCTAGAAGACTGCTTTGCCCATGAGAATGCTGAGGTTAGTGGACAGCTTTCTAACAGAGAGCTTGGGCTACTAAGGGAGGTTGGTTGCTTTTGAGGGTAATGTCATGTTGGCTGCTACAGATGAGTGCTGGATAAGGAGCAGCCTAGTTTAGTACAGTGTTCCTTTCCCTGCAATATACTCATCCCTAGATGTTACCAAGCACATTTGTTCACAGTCATTTCCTTTCCCTTAAAGTCTGAAGGTAGAACTTCAGGAGAATGGAGACCTGGGGTTGTTTGTGGGCTCCTTGCTGCCCTCCCTGCCAAAGCAGAGCGTGATGACACATATTATGAACAAAAACTGCCACCCAAACCTTGAGACAGCTATTTCTTTTGGAGAAGAGGAATAAATATACTGAATACATAAACGTGGAACCTTGGCTTCCTTTTTCCAGACATGTTATTAAACTGGTAAAAATTGTTTTGGGAGCATCAGAATCTCTCACTCCTAATACTACACAGAAATGGGAAGGAAGGCAGGGTCCAAAGCATGCCATTAAATGTCTGTCATGATTACTCGTTGTTCGATGGGAGCTGCAGCTATGCTAATACAGTGTGCTCGCTACAAAGAACCCTGTAATTGGGACAAAGCAGTTGCAAAGCTTCCCACAGCTGGCAGGAACTGTGACTGTTCTCTTTGGTTTTAATCATGGCTTTTAAAGCAGATCAGTAACAGCAACAATTAGCCTTTTAGATGGGTCTCAGAAATTACCATTTTTAAAATATGGTGACTCTGCAGGCACAAAACCAAAAGCTCTGAGCTCTGCATAAAACAAGCAGCCAAACACTCTGGGCTTGTTTGTCACCAGCATGGTTTCTCCTTTGTTTCTGCTGAATTGTAATTTTGAAAAGCAGACAGGAACTTGCACAGTCAAAAGGAATTATCCTTACTCACTTCCCTTTCCTCTCAAAACCTATCCTTCGAAACAGCTTCAGCTCTGAAGAACTAACTGCCTGGCATTCCAGCTGTGTAAGGAAGCACAACCACAAGGTTATACAGAATAGCTTGCTGGTTCTACATCAGCAGAATGACTTTGAACCTCCTCTCATTGGACAAGTCTGAAAGACAGCCATTTGGGATACAGGAACAGTGGGAAAGGAATCAGAGGGGAATATTCAGCCCAGCAGAGGACCCCTGGGAGAAGACAAAAAGCAGTGCAACAGTAATAAACTCAAAATCCTCACCAGAGCAGATGTCACCATCAGACTGCAGTTGAGAGAGTCTTCTGCAGCATCTCCATGCCTTGCAGTGAGGTCTCAGCCTGGCTCCCAGAGCTGGATGGAGCTTGATCTGCTCAGATCTGCCTCTGCTTGGCCATTCGGAAATTTTTGCCTGTGCAGCAAGGTTATTCAGTGACTGAACAGCTTTTATGCAGCCTCTCTTTAATCCATGTAAGTCCTGGTGTACAAATACCTATTTTAAAACTCTCTTGCTCCTCTGTGTGGCATTACCTATGCTTCATTCCTTCTAGGAGAGTTTGCCAGCACAGCAACACAAAGGAGCTTTTTCAAGTACAGATCTGGCCTTTGTGCCTCAGGGCTTAATTCTCTGAAGCTAGGACTTTGTACCACTCTGGCTTACAGTCTTTAAAGTACAAGTGTAAGTGCACTTCGATGTATCTACATGTCAGGTGGTAACAGGACATTTCTTGCCTACCTCAAAGAGTGGGTAGGAACCAACACCTCCACCAGGCTTTGATTTCTCTCAAGAAAGCACTTACATTGACACTCATTTCTCAGTCTGATTGAAGCCTGCTGCAAATCCCACATGTGAGCTTCAGGATATGGTGTCCCTGCCAGGCTGCCGTCCAAAATCTTGAGTTCCCAAACTTATTTTCCTGTCCCAGCTCAGGAAGCAGAGAGCTGGGATTCCTGGTTGGGACTGAAGGCCACCACTCTTCACAAATAGTTCATTAGTTCAGCTGGCATTGCACTTATACACCATTAGCAGCAGTAACGTGATTGGCACGGATGTTTAAATAACATACCTGCACATAGAAGTAACATCAAAGCATGGCAGCACTGGTTTACAAAACACCACTGGCATTAGAACTGTAGGCATTGGATCCCAAGGAGACATTTAGAGTGGTTTCCTCAGATACCTGTGCTACTATTACACCTGGGTGCCCTTTTTGTAATCCTGTTCCTGCTGACAACCAGCACAGACAATAACTTAATTTTAAATCTCTCATTAGAGGATTTAGAAATAAAATTCAGCAATGGAATATTTCTAGTGATGGAGAGTAGAACATTATCTACTACATAATGTCTTCCTTCCAAAAAAAAACAATAAAAAGACTATATACACTGGATCACTTTTTCCACCAAATGCAACTAGAAAATGGTGACATGATAGAGTCCATATAAACAAGAAGTGCTGACAGACACTGCTCCATAGCTAGCAGTTCCAACCACAAATGATACTGCCATTTCCCTGCTTTATTTCTGTCACAAAACTGTTGGGAAATTTAGAAAGTCATCATTTTTTCAACATCATAATTTGTCTTTCTCTTTTTACTCTGTAGAACTAAGAAGAAAAGAGTAGAAACCACAATTAGATGGGCTTTCAAAGAAGCAAAGGAAAATCAGCTTTATGGAGCAATCTGCATGAGTAATGATATGGGAAATTTAGGTTGAGCCTTTCATCCCAATGGGCTCCATGTACATGTGGACAGTGTGCAGAGTACCCATTTTTTACTTCAAGCCTATCATTCACTGCATATGTTTAATCAAATGGCATTGAAAGGTGGAAGTGCTGATTTTGTCCATGATGACTGATAATGGGTTTAACACCACCCTGGGAAACTGCAATGGGAATTGGCAGGAATATAAACCTTCTATTTCCTGAGGTCATATTTTGCTTTTGAAATGTGGAGAGGTTTTTGTTGTGGTTTTTTTTTTTTGTTTGTTTCATTTTGTTTTTGTTACTGTAAATATGGTGAATACAGTGCCAAAGCCATCATTAAGGCTTGTATGTTCCACGCTTTACATTACTTCACTTGGCTGCCTCAAAATCTGCACATAACAGGCACAGCAGGAGTCAGATAAACCAAATGCTTTTTGAATGTGGCTACTAGTTTAACATGGGGCTTCCATTTTTTTCCCACCTTCTGAAGTCATTCTTTGAGACAATGTGCGTTAATACTAAACCAAGAAGTATTTCATCCAATCAGGACATGGCAAGGAGGAATGCTATTACAGTAACCATAAATGATTCCTATTATAAATAGCCATGGCTTCATATGGAAAGCAAAGGAAAATGTGTTTATTTGAAACACCAAAATGGGCAGTATTTCTATTCCATAACATCCAAAAGCATATTCTTCTTCATTTCTGCACTAAGATGGAGCACAGATGACTTAGTGCTTGCATTAGGCTTACATAGCTTACCTCTTTCCTCCATACTCACCATTCTCCAAAGGTTACATTTGAGTCAAATGTCCTCTTTATTGCTTAGTATTTCACTGTACATTTTCCTCCATTTCCAGTTGTGTCTCGTAGAAATGCAAGCACTGAGCATTAATGGAAATGTTTTAATAGAAAACTCAAGAGAACTCTATTAGCAAGAGCAGCCCTGTTCAAAGCTGGATGATTCTGATGGATCTGATAATTGTTGAACTTGCTCACAACGTATGAAGTGGTCATTGTAGCCTTGATTTTCTCCTTCATGACATTCAGTAAAACTCAGTTATATTCAGAATTTCTGTCCTTGGGAAAACAGCAAGCTTCCTTCCCATCCCGAAATGGGACAGGAGAATTCCTGAGAGAGGGAGATAGAAACTGCCTTTCCATGCTTCGAAGAACATTAGTAGAGATGTGTAACCTTGTGGATATCCTTTAGGCTATTAAGACCTCATAAGCAGGTTTTATAATGTTTCAGGTTTTATACATAACTCTTCTCTAAACTTTTGAAAGTTATTTCCTCCCTCTCCCCCCCCCACCCCAAAAAAAGTGTTATTTTTAATGACTGATTAAAATTTCAGCAGCTTGTGAAAAATTCAAGAAAAGCCATCCCTTATAATGAAAATTTTAATTGATATCTGCTTGAATATGTTATCAGATTCATTATTGAAATTCTATTTTTGCTAAGCATTTTTATTAAAAAATTTCAGGGTTTCATTAAAAGAAATGTGACAGATCTGAATGCCTTGAGATGAAAACTAGTTTGCTTAATGAATTGTGTGGCATTCAAGCCAATCTCATTGTCTGCCACTGTATCTAATAATGCTATATAATGTTGGGAGCTACTCAAATCTGCGGTAATGTAACATTTGACATCACTATTTTTGCAATTGCTCTATTAGTGAGTATTGCAGCTGAATTTCCTGATGTCCCAGGATGAGGTTTATGGATTTGCCCATAGGGATACTACAGATGATACAATCAAATATACCAACCTGCCCATGAGTTTATCTTTTCCTGGAGAGCCATACTGATAATGTTATCAGCTCCAAAGCAAAATTGAGAGTTGTCCTAGCCTAGCTGCAAAAGCTTCTTTATTCCTGGAGAGTATTTCACTTGGTGGTTTAATGAAAGTAAAATAGAAAAATAGCAGGGGAAGAAAAAAAAGAAGAGACAAAGTCTATTCCTGCCTCAGATGCTCTGTACGTTCTAGACAGTGTCCTGCTAATTGCAAAAAGCATGACTCATTCAAGTCATAAATCAGCATTTCTTGAGGCAGCAAAAACAGCCTTTAAAATTCATTGCAGTAAGACTGCTTTATTACATCGCTGGAAAAACTGCTTCCCAACAGCAGCTCCCTATTCTGCACAGCTATCTCTGCCAAGATTTGATAAGACAAATAGGGAGACTTGGGCGGAAAAGAGGAAAATGATGAAAGAAAACTTTGCTGCAAATTAGATACAAAATGGTTCTAAGCTATCTTGTTTCAAGTGTCTTTTGCCTCCTCCACATCTCTCTGTCACATCCAGGAGGGCTTATGGATTATGCTGAGGAGATCAGCCTGCGCTCATCCCTTATTCAGGCAGTTTTCTCTCAATGGCAGTTTTCCCAGCAAGAGGTGGGGAGTGGTCCATAGGACTTTGCCAGTGCTGCTTAAAACAGCAAGCAGGACCACTGAGTAATGTGTCAATGACAGCTGTCTATTCAGAGATCTTCCCTCTTCACTCCTATCCCATCCCAGATTTATGTCCGTTTTTCCTTCCCAATCTCCACCAGCTCTGCCCTCAGCTTATCACCACTCTGCAATGTCTTCCTAACCAAGAGGAAGGAGCGATGATTCCGCAGCTCACAATGACAAACTCCATCATCACTTGCAGGGTTTTTCAGAATGATGATCGACAGCCCTCCTGAAATTGTGTAAAAATTAAAATGTTAAAAAAAGAAAGAAAGAAAGAAAGAAAACCAGAATCTGTGGTCTGTTGATCTGACTCTGGGCAAAACACAGCTCTGGCTGTGGCTGTTTTACATCTAATCGCAGCAGCAGAACAGCTTCCAGCCAATCTTATTTGTAATTTTTTATCTCACTGTCCAGCTAAGTCAATCAATTGCTGCAAACTGTGTTGTGCTGCAGGGGAAAGAATAATAGAGAAATATTCAGCCAAACAATAAGAAACTCGTTCCTACTGCTGTGTATGTATGTTGAAACAGCGGCCTGTCCCCTGCCTGCCAGGTAGTGCCACCAGTCCTTGATAAGACTGCTACAGCTCTCTCACTCTCAGAAAAATTGGCAAAAAAAAGCCATCACTCACACCTTGGGAAATGTCCATGGAATAATTACTCCCTCCAAGACAATTATATCCACAAAAGCTTCTTCCCCTCAGAGGGAAAATCCTGGTGGAGGCTCTTCTCAATTAAGGTTTAATGTATGTCTCTACTTCTGAAAAAGGGTTGTTCTCATTCCCACTGGAACCACTCAGAAGCTTTAATGGTTTTTGAACCAAGCCCAGTGATGATGCATCTTCATCAGTGATAGGAGTTGCTTCCTTGCTTCAGGTTTTCCCATGGTTTAGATGCATATCCATCACACTGCAGCATGCTGGGGATGACAAATTGGACATATAATCACACAAATAAGTGAGATTTCCTACTGACTCTTTTGCTCCTCGTGTCTGCTCTAGGGATTGCATGGAGGATGGCACTTCCAGTGACTTTTGCTTTAAGGACACTGTTTGGGCCAGTTGCTGCCTTCCACACCAGCATGGCTGGGAAATGGGTTTTAAACCCTGAAATGCCCCTCAGCTGGAGGGCTGGAAGCTGGCCAGGCAGGAGAAGAAAATAAGTAACAAAATGTGGAGTGTTCTTGCTTTGTACCCCTGTAAAACTGCTTCAGAGTAACTTTCATTTCAACTACCCCACAGCAATTACACATAATTGTCCTGGGAGGAGCAAAGATTTTCTTTGATGGAATTATCATTTAATTTTTGTTGTATATTTAGCAAACCAACTTCCTATAGGATCCCTCTTACCTGGCAAGGGAGAAGACAGATTGCCTCTGAATCTTAGGGGCTTCCCTTCAGCTCTTCTGTGCTTCCTTCAATCCGTGTTATTCCTGTATATCCCATTGCTTTTCCCAACAAACTGGGTGCACATCTTAGTATTGATTGCCACTCTCCATCACACACAGACACATTTCTCTTCCTCTTTGCTCAAAGAAAACTGCACAGTTGACCGCAAACCAACAGTCCGGTTTTTATGATATCTGTATTGGTTATTAAATTTCTGAACTCTGTGAGAAAAATGAGAAACACGTGTGAGAGTTACTTGTGGATATACAACAAAATCATTTCACTCAGTCAAGCTGCTTATCAAATAAATGAATAAAGAAAAGCATTCTTTCTTAACATAGAACTTACATCTTTAATAAACATCTGCTGCATGTTCTCGTGAGAATCCTATTATACAACTTCCTTTATTGATTCATGTATTAATATCATTTTGTATTAAGCTGGTACATAATTGATGATATGGAAGTGTTTTCATATTACAACTCCTTCACTACATAATATAACCCACTTATCATATTTTCAGCACAAAATTCACGAAGGTCATGGATGCATTATACACTGAAATGAACAAATTAACTGTAGAAAAGTACAGTATATCACTTGCAAATTGCATGCAAGCTAAAGTAAATACACAGTGCTAAATGCTGACTTTGATATAGTTCAGGTTGAAAGGCATACATCAGCTAAGAGAAAAAAAATATCTAAGCATTCAGTAGAATGGAAAAATCTCCCTCAGAAAACAAGAACTTGTCAGTTGAGTGCAATATATACAGCTGTGATTAGTGACTCTCCCCAGGAAACACCTTCCCAGCTCCAGTAACTGTAGTGCTAGTACTGCCTTCCTGCAGCATCAAGTACTGCTCACTGTAAGCAAAAGAAGCAGGAGAAATCCCTGAGGGGATTTATTTTCCTTTAGGTTTTAGGGCCTTGTTTTGTTTTGGTTTACCTGCAGTTGAATAACAGGCTTCTGTAGTACTTCAATATCTAATGCAGGGAGATTACACAAGGCTTAGAAACTTGCTCTTTCTTATAAAATATAATTTAAACTAAGCTCAGAAAGACAGATAAGGAAATCTTCCTGCCAAACAACACACCAGAGCAACGGTGGCACAGCCCTTACCCTGCAGTCCTGGGAGCCCAGTGTTCCCCTGGCCTGGTTTACCAGGGTTTCATCCTTGGCAGATCAGTTAGAACCATTACTGTTGGACTGCTCCTCTTAATACTTTCACCAATGGAAAAACATTGGTTTGCAAAAACAACATGCATGAAACCTCAGCCTTATGCATCCGTAAATAGGGTTCATTTTTATGCTGCTGCAGCATCAGCTCTCTGCCCCCAGCCTTGCTGAGCGACTGATGAGATGCCACTGCCTTCCCATGGATGTGTGCCAGCACAGAAGCAGCTCCAAGTTGCTGTTCAATTACCTGTTATCTCCTCCGTGCTGTTACACAGCTAAATAGCTCTAAGCTTTAATTGAACTTGAGAAAATAAGTGAGGAAAAACACTTTGTTATTTTAAAGACACCAACTAGCTGTGGCCATTCCATTCAAACTCCTGATTCCTGCATCATCACGCTTCAGTGTTCACTGAATGTCAAAGCATTACACCAGTGTTATAACATGAAGTTACAGTTATTGATACTACCAATGCCCTCAAGCTTTGCTTTCACCAGTCAGTCTTTACTTCTGTTACCCAAATCTGGCCCTCATGTTGTTTCAGTGTCCAACACTTACTGCTCTAGAGAAGCTGTGTAATGCTCAGAGCCTCTCTCCTCCTCTCAGAAAGGTCTCATTGCTACTTTCACAACCACAATTATACTGCCAACGAGTTCAAATGTAGTGCTACATAAGGCACTACCTACAATTCATCTACTCTCCTCCACCATCCACTATCGTGCACTTTCTCACCCACTAATAATGTCCATCCTGTGCCCAGAAAAGTGATCATTAAATATTCATGTTTCAGGAACAGACACTTCATCCACAGATCTGCCCACATCAAGTACAGTATTTCCTTTAATCTCTTTAATTCTTCCTCCCCAGTACAGTATAATTTACAGCAGGCTCAAAATATGAGTTAATGCATCTTTTCTTTCATTACCTTTTCCCCAGCTTGAAAATTTATTATGTGTTCCAGCTGGTTTGACAAGGGTCAGATGCATATGGGATGTTTCAGATTTATACACAGCATTTCAAGTAAGGCACAAGGCACAGCTCTTAGATTTCTTCAGTGGAGTACAGCTGCCCCTGCCTGGAGACATCAGAGACAAAACTTGCATTGGCCCAAATACATTATGAGAGCCCAATAAGGGAGCTATTTCCTATTTCCAATGATTTGTAAACATCTTTGCTTCTACATGCAATGAACTGCAAGTACTGAATGTGCACCTATTGTTCGTTTGACCTTTTTCTTACCACATTTTAATCTTGAATGTATTTTTAACAACAAATCATAACAATAAGAACTTCAGTTGCCATCTGATTTGATCAAAGTCACAAAGATCTTCCAGACAAGGAGAACAGCTAATATTGCTTCTTTATCCTTTTGGTAAGAGGATTAATAACAGAAAACCATTCCAAGGATTTTTCCCCAAACCATCCTTGCCTTTTGCACGACTAGCATTGCACATGTGAATGCTTCAATACTTACGTGTTAGTAGGAAGCAATGCAAATACTTCAGCTGCAGTCATGGAATCTTTCTGCAGCTCTAAGCCAATATCACTTCATGCCACCCATAGGAGCTTCTCCATTTGAATCTAGAAATTGTATTCCACAATACCTACATATTGGGAGCAAGTTCTTTCATCCAGATTCTTTTGCTTGGGTCCCACAACCAAAAGGTGGGAAGGGATGGAGGGCTGCAATTTCCTGAGAACCAGTAGATCCTGGATCTTCTCGTGCTGACAGGGTGTGGAGCAGCAGGTTGTCACTGTGACACCCGCTGGCAGAACTAAAATCTGAGCAAATGGTGAATGCTGTAACGTCTGACAGCTCTCCCAAATTCCCCTGAGCACAGGCTGTCTCAGAGTGGGTACTTCAGCTTGCAGCTTAATATTTTGTAAGCAAGTCGAATAATCAGGCATAGGTATCTCTAAGGCAACAGTTCTCACATATACACACACACACACAAATATAGATTTATATACATACACATGTATGTATATACATGTACACTTCCTCACTTTCCCTGCCTCACATTTAGAGAGCAGAAAATGGAGGGCCCAGCCACTTCTGCACCCTGACTTCCCGTACAAAACCATTTCCTGGCTCTTCTACCACCACAGCACTGACTCATCGCATCTCTGCTGCCAGAAAGGGTGCTCCAGACCCGTGGTTTCCTAACAGTTCCCTTGGACAGGCACTGACCCTCCATACGTGACTTTCTATCTCCCTCCCCTCAAGATGACCTGCCGCTTCCAAAACTCCTGTCCTCTGTGCTGTAAACAAGTCCTCCTCCAGGAGCATCACAATCCATTATTAATCCTGCATCACTATGTCTGGGACTTTCAGTCCAGGACAGAAATAAAAAGACTGCAGTGCAGGCAGACTAGGACTGCAATTGGAGCAGGGTTTGTAATTTAATAGAACTACCTGGAGTAATGCTGTAATCTCAAACAACCTTCAGAAGTAGTTCAGAGAGAGATTCTCTAAATCCTCAAATCAGCTACAAATATGCAGTTGCATTACTACTACAGATTGAAATGCCTTTGAAGCCAACAGAGAGATTCTTACGGGGTTTTTTATAGGCTTATGCATTTATATATATGTATAAATATATATATACACACACACACGTATATACATAAGCATCTCCCTAGGAGTTTAATTGGGCTGGAGTGTCCCTGAAGAAGTCTGAGCTGAAACCCCAAGGAACAGCACACTCTGAGAGCTCTCTGCCTGTAGGACATTTTTTGTAATTTTTTTTTTTTTTTGAGAAGAGAGATTCCATTAACCACCATTTTTCTTTCCTTCTCTGTTTTGGCAAGGTGAGACTTGTCTCTATTCTGTAATGTAGACATCACCATCTCAGAGCATGGTCCCAAGGAGGCCAATTTGGAGACTGACAAGAAAATCATCCTTTCTATTTGGACAGAGAGAAATGATATTTTTCCAGCTGGAAAGAAGAAAAAACGTAAACCCTGTTGTGTAGTCTTGATCAAGATTGCTGGACAAATCAAGAAAAGTTTGAGATTTGCCAAACTAAGGATCACAGTCAGGAGATTTGATTGCTTGCACCATAGCACTGATTTTCCCCAGGCTGTGTTTTATATCAGTGCAGGAGCACTCCCTGCCAAGGAAAGCTGCATGTTCACAGGAGCCCCATGGGTCCTCACGCTGCCAATGCCACTGAAGCATTGGGTCACCCATCCATTTTTCATCCCCATTTTTACCTCACCAACCTTACCCCTCCCTTTATGGCTCTTTACCTGCAGTCTCGTAGTCACTGTGTTCACTTCCACTTTTACATTGTAAATTTTAACTCCTTGTGTCTTTTCTCAGCTCCTGTCGGAGGAGCTGAGGGATGGAGTCCGATCACTGTATCACCAGCACTGATGTTGGCTTTAGAACCAGGAAGTGAGGTTGGAGGTAATGGCAGCATCCCCCTACCAGCCAAATACACCAACAAGCAGAATTGGATGGGAAACCAAAGGACAGAGTTTTATACTTCTTTCCACAGAAGGGCTCAACAGAGCAGATCCAGGCAGACAAAGACAAAGGAGGTGAGAGACAGGTTAAAAACAAATGCAGGTATCCTCTGGGGGACACAGGTCAGCCCAGAAATCTGAGGCATTTAAACTTAACCAGCAACTGTGAAAGCATTTCCAAATCAGAAAGAAACTGCAGTGAAAAGGAGGAAAGAGAAAATCGCTATTTTGTGACCTCAGGAAAAAGGGAAAGTATTTTTACATATTTCTTGTCTCATGTTAGTTTGGGGGTAGGAGTTAATAACCATCTAAAGGCCACCACTCGTAATAGTTGTCCCATTGGGAACAACCCTTCTGTACAGCTCTGGGTGCTGATGCCCAGCAGGGGCTGAGCCCATCCTCTGAGATCCGAGGGAGAGCACAGCATCGCATGGGCTCGGGCTGCCACTGCTCTGCAAGAAGCTCAGCCCCAGAGCAGGGCTGTAGGAACAGAGAGGAGTTCATACAGAAATCAGCTGAAAACCCAAGCGCATATTTTACCAAATCGTTCCTAACGTTGCTCTTACTTCGTTTAAAAGCATGACAAATGGAAACAAAAGAAACTGCAGACTTAGACCAAGAACAAAAGGCTGAATGGCGTGCACAAAGTGGATGAGTAAAGCAAAGGTAGCGAGCCTCAAGCTTCTCTAAATGTCTTTCTAATGCTAATTAAAACACCGCACGGAATTTCCCATGGGAGGCATCGTGAAAATTGAGCCTTGAGGTGGGAGTCTGAGTGAAGGAGTAAAAATTCTCTGCTGGGTTTTTCCCCCCTCCTTCCCCGGTCCTGTCTCACTCCATCACTATGCTGCTGCCATGGCAAAGTCCCAGCTCTGACCTCACGGCCCCAAGCCAGTCCAGAGCCCTCCTGCACCACACAGAATGTGAGCATCTCATCCTCTGCACCCTCTGGAATCATCTCATGCCACGTTCGCAGAGATCAGGTGAGATTTATTTCTAGATGAAACTCGGCTGATAAGACAAAGCATGTTATTAATCCACTCAGGCCAGCCATCTAACACCCAAAGCCTGTTACTTTTGCTGGCTGGAAAGAGGTATTTGATCGAATCAAGAGAGATTTGTTTAGCTCTCTCTTCTTGTTTAAGTTAGAAGATGCTTAAAATTTGCAGCTGGGGGTTGTGCCCCTGCCAGCTCTGCAGCACCTGCAAACAAACCCACGAGCTGTGGTGTAGCTAAAATGGGAACGAGAGCAGGACCTGTGTGCTCTCTGCTACAGCCTTGTTTGGTATCAGGATGTCAGGACTGGCAATAAGAGCAACTCTGATCACTTGTGGCATTTTCTTTTTGTCCTGAATATTCGTTAAATATCCGTTCCTTTCAGGCTATGCACTCGGCTTCCTAACACTCCTCTGGCTACTCTTCAAGTTCTTTCTCTGTACCTCTCCCTTCAGGAGACCCAAGACACACCTCATGAGATTCCCAGGACATCACTGCGCTGCCCAAGTTCCAGCTCCCAGCAGTGCCCTGTCCCAACCCAGATGCTAGGGTTGCTTTGAATCTCAGGGGGGGGTTGAGTAGATGTGTTTCTGTACCACTGTGCTGGAAAGTTGATTTCTCCATAGCGGTGGTTTCAATCTGTCAGAAGCCTGTGTTTAGCTGCTGCTTTAGCCAACAGGGACCAGATTTTCTCTTTCTGTCAGAGGGTTTCATGACAAAATCAGTATCAAGGGGATCAGCTGGAGAGTGATGATGCTTTTGGCATCTGAGCCAAAACCCACTGCCTTTACTGAAAGCCTTCCCATTGACTTCAGTGGGGCTCAATCAGCCCAATGCTCCATCGCAGGATGGAGCCAGATTTGCTTTGAACACATTTGCAGAGTTAGACACCAAAGTTTCCAAAGACCACGATCTGCTCAAAGCAAGGAAGTTTGCTAATAGTTAGGGGAAAAGGGAAGACAAAGGAAGTGCTGTTCCTTCCTTTCCACATCCTTGCAAACCTTTGTATTTCTTGCTGCCATTATACTTCTTGCTTAAGTATCCCTTAAATATCTACTAAGGGATCTGAATAGAAAAATACATTGACCTATTTTTAACAGAGATGTAAAACCAAAAGCTCTTGCACAACTAAACAAATAAGAGTAAATAACATGATTTTCTCCATCTCTATTGCATTAAGCCCAAATTCTGCTTTCTGGGGAGCGGATCTTGACACGTGGTGACAAGCTGCCAAAGTTCCCACAGTGAGAAGACTCCTGACCAGTCCTAATAAACAAAGCACTCCCTCCACAGCAAACCCCATGCAGCTGCTCACTTGACTCAAGGTGACCATCCAAGGGTTGAAATAAGCAACCTCACTCAGGAGCTGGTTGGCACCTCATTGGTAAGGCCAGAGGCTCTTGCTTTCTTCTTAGGCTCTCTCTCTGTTACAGAATGCTGGAAGTTAATTAGCCGCTTGCATAAAAAGGAGGAGGGCTGAGGGAAGGTGTGACAGAGACAGGTGGCTGTCAGAGGGGAACATCTCTTCATGTAAATACCCATATCCATTCACAGGCTTCAGGAAACCTCATCCCTGAGAAAATACATGCCAGATGCAAAGCATCTGAACCGCAGCAACTTCCCCTTCACAGCCCCTGGTTAATTATAACTTTGAGGAACAGCAGTCTATAATCATGTACGTGGAAACTCATTTCTCTTTAAATGGATCCTGGCTAACAGTTGCTTTTTACTGGAACAATTTTCAAGTAAACAAGCTCTGAAACTTGAAAGGAATCTTAAACTCCATTAAATAATACAGTTCCTTAGCAGGAATTTCTCCTGGGAAGAGATGTCTTCTACTCAAGTGCCATGTTATGACAAGCATGACAGACTTGATAGCGATCTGTTCCAACTCATGACATTGCTTAAATTAGGTTAGATAGAATCTGCACAGGCTTTCTAAGGAAAGCTCCTCCGGGTGAAAGCACTATTATTTTTGTTAATGGCTGTGAATTATGATTTGCTTCTCCTAGGAGTCATAAACAATGTTGTAACACAGTAGTACATCATGTAATGTATGTAATACATGATGCCTTAGTAGGGGAGGAAACTATTACATTTGCATACATTAGAGCTACAGTTGTAATCAGAATGTGCTTTCCCACTCATTCACTGAATATGTATGGCTCTCTTTCCCACTTCTCTTTCTGTTACATATGTCTCTTCCTTGACCTGGTGTCTTGCTCTATTTTATTCAGACTTGGGAAGGATGCACTCTTACAAGATGTTCCTGTTTCTCTGCAAAGACCAAGCAACCAGCTTCCTTTCAGACCACTTCCCGAACCTCACCCGTACCTTAGCCTCATGAAAAGACAGATGGAGGCAGAAAGCAGCTCAGCACCACTGCTGTGGACTCACACACACATCAGGGCACCAGTCAGCAACTGACGGCACCAAGGACACTTGCAGGTAAACAAGGGGATTTTAAGGTTAGCAATGCCCTGCAGCCTGAGCAGGTGACAGCTTACACCTCAAGAGGGCTGCCAGAAAGGGCTGGGTGGGAGGGATGACAAACCCATCCTGCTGCTGCAATCCCCACAGAACACAGCACCTCTGCACCAGCATTAGCAGCAGGGTGGGAAGGCACAGAGCAATGCAGGGTTTGTTCTGAGCCCACATGAACACATCTATTTCCCCATCAACAAAATTCAAGCTGAGAAAACTGACACCCATTTGTAATTTGCGAAGAGGAGCTGGAGGCCATCTGAGCAACATGGACAAAGAAAATCAGCACATGAGCACAGAAATGAAGCAGCAAAGCTGCTCTCAGAAGAGTGAAAAGGCTGCATCCCAACACAGCAAATTCATCGTAGAATGGCTTAGATTGGAGGGGACCTTAAAGATCATCCAGTTCCAACCCCCTGCCACGGGAAGGGCTGCCAACAATCAGGGCAAAATAACACTTGGGACTTTGGAAGATATGCTCCCAGGTACAATGATGCTGATCAGCACAGAGCAGACCTTCTCCATGTCCATCACATCACCAATGGCTTGAGCAGGGGAAGAGAAGGGCTCAGCTCTAAGAGTCAAAGCTTTACAGTAATGCTGGGCTGCACATTCACACCTGAGTTATTGCCAGTGTGGGGAGGTTATGGAGAAACCAAGAGCATCTCTTACCGACTTGAACCAATTTAAGCACAGGTTTCAAGTGACACGTTGTTATTTTTGAGCTGAAAGATCACTGGAGGTAAACTTCAACCTTTCAGGCAGCCTACGGATAGCACAGCAAACAGTGAGAGGCAGATGCTGGTGGAGCTTCTGTCACCGAAGGGACACATAAGGATTTATCTGTTTTGCCACACAGAAATATTCTGTCTCAGAGCAAATTTATTGTTGGGCTGCCAGGGAAAAGCTGTTCTTGTTCCTTTTCATTAGAGAGAGGGTGGTTGCAATGTGAGGTTTCTGAGTGCACACTGAGGAGGAGGTGGCATTCCATGGCACTCCAAGGATTTTAATGCATGACCAAAGATGTACTCAGAGCTAAAAGATGCTTATGTGCCTAAAGATGCAGAGAAGCACAAGAGCTCATGTCCTTAGGGAGGAAAGCACTGAAATGCTTTGTTTCCTGGGCAGGGCTTAGTGCAATTTCCATGCCCTCAGTGTCAGGAGCACCGCATCCCTCTGCTCTGGGGTTTTGTGGAGCTGCCTGAGCACCTACTTCACCCTATAGAGAAATAAATGATCATACAGAACTGGTCTTTGTACTAAAGAACAGCTAGATTTCAAAGGAAAACACATTTGTCAGAAGGATGTTGCAATTTCTGAGCTATCAGGACAGGCACAAATCAAACAGTAGCTGGTGGTTTTACTTTCTACATTTGAATTCATGGAAAGTTCATATTAAAACAAAGGAGAAAAAAAAAAAAAGAAAAGCAATGCATAAAAACACCTTGAAACATTTCTTGCCTCCTTCTTCCCACATGAGACTCTAACCACAATTTAAGAATTATATGAGCATCATTTACCATCCAGGGATGGACTAACACCAGCACTCTGCTCCTGCATTGAATCTGGAAAGATTGTTAATGCAAAGTGAACAAGAAAGAATCAGGCCATAAACCACCATCCCGGCCCAGCATCCCTACAAGAGGAGATCATGCACAGACATGTGGGGGGGGATTTGGTAATTGTATCGTGTGATGATTTTGCAGTTGATAAGCAGCAGTCTTCCACCTGCAGCGCTGTTAGTCTGGCTTCTTTATGAAAAGAACATTTGTTTTGTTTTGTTTTTAAAACAAAAAGATATGTATGGCTGATAAGTGTTATTTGATCATTTTTGTGAACTTTAATTTGTTTTATACTCTATGCTCTCCAAACTACTATGTGAAGTTATACTTCAAGCAACAACGATATAAATCAAAAACAAACTCAAAAAAATCCTCACCCTTTTAAAGTATTGCATTATTTAACCACGATGCATGCAAATTAAATTCAAATTAAATAGCAATGGGTGTGGTGCATATGCAAATTTCTAAATGCACCCAGTCCCCATTTCCCCATTATGAAATGCCTATAGCTGTAACTCCCTGACCTTATGAGCTGCTCAGCCTCTAATACAATCTTTGTCATTGTAACAAGGCCAAAAGAGTGGAAGATGAAACAACATCAGCCCATCTCCACAGACTTTCAAAGCACTTGCAAAGACCCCTACAAAATAAGATCAGTGCTTTTCTGAAGGAAAAATGATGACTGCTCTCCTGACTGACCTACCTGGCACTCAGCAATGAGACAGTAAAACCATGGCTGAGCCCCATGGGTGGCTGGGCTTCTCACACAGGCTCACTCTGTGGCTCACGGCTGGAGGTTGGGCTGGTGAAGCTTTACAAGCATTCTCCTCCATCTTCTTCTGATATCTGAAGCCCTTCTGATTTTGACTTCCTTTGAAATTTCCTTTTGAATCTCTTATCTGAGTGTTCTTACCAGAGATGTGAGGACTTCTACCCCTTGACAGCCTCCCTACATACTTCTCAGGATTTCACAGAGAACCCTCCAGCTGCTCAGTTTCCATCCAGAGCCCTTGTCAGAGGAGAAAGGCATCGAATTTAGTTGCAAGAGACTTGGTAACAGAGGAGTTTCTTTCAAACACCATTTCACATAACTGGCAGACTCAGACTTAACACAAGGATTGTTCCTCCACCCTTTAATTAAAGGAGTTTCCTTCAGTTTCAAAGGAATAGAACAAAGCAGCCCCAGCATCTCTCAATAACTATCTTCCTTTCTAGCTCTGTAATATAAAAGGAATCTGATAGTTTCTCTCCTGTATCAGTCTCATCACTTCTGTCATCAGGACTTTTCTCTGAGGATGCATTTATATGCATTCTTTCCAAAACCAGTTCTCCACCACAACCCACAGCAAAGCCAAAAAGCCAAGGCATGAGGAGGGGGACACCCCATCCAGCCCCCTGGGCACAACCACTAAACTCAGTCAACAACAACCTTTGGAGATCAGCCTCTTCAGGGAGAGCAGAGGTGACTCCAAGGAGAGCTGGGGGAACAGAAAGGACAGACAAGAAAATGAGCATGGACTTGTGGAGGCACTCTGAGCATAATGCACATGAAGCCCCATCCACTGCAGACAGGACATCCTAATTTATGATTGCAGATCTCAGAGTAGCCTGATCAGAGGCAGTGTCTGAAAGATCAGCATTCATGACTTTCTCCTGTCTCCTGTTCCCAGATAATTATCCCTTTCTTAGGTGATTAGAAGACATTCTAATCTGTTTTTTTTTTTTTAAAGCTCATTCCATCAAATTAGGCATCAAGGCATGCAGTGGTGATGGGTAAAACCTTTACCTGTAGGGTAAAACCTTCAGTGATGGTAAAACCTGTACCAAGCAACTACTGAAGACAACAAAGCCATCTCCGTGTAATCCTTGCTGTTTGACAAACCAGTGATTACTCCATGGGGGAGGCACAACAAGCACAGGGAAACCCACATCTTCTGGAACATCCTAGTTCCCCCCATCCACCTCTGGGTGCAAATGATGGTGGGGAGCATGCAACACACCATTCCTTTTCACCCACTGATAGTGAGAAAAGCCAAAACCACACTGCAACTCACTGTTCTCCCCACCTGGCTCCCCAGGGACATTGAATTGCTCAGCACTGATAATTACTAACCTCCAAGACTGCTATGGTGTGGGATGTGAACCTCAGTCTCTACAGCATCTCATAATGTATGCTTGCTCATACTAGGGATTATGTGGTCCTGATGGAAATCACATCGCTTCGCAAGGATAGAAAGAGCACACAGCTTTTGGATTAAGAGAGCTATCCACCCTTTAGTTGCTTTTTAGCCTATTCTTATCCTTGGAAGGTAGCATGAAGTAGCAGTTCCTACCCAAGGAGCACTCTCCTTGGAGTATTAGCAGTTTTGCAAATTGGGAACTCTGGTTAGTGGACATTTGGTTGACTACTGTTAAGATACACCCATGCTTTGGTCTCATGAGTCTGCCCACGTAGTCATCCACTTGACATCTCAATCTGCTGCACATTTTATCATGTTATAGCCTGCTCCTCCATCATGTCACTGTGTACATATACTTAATGTGGTCTGACCTTGAGGAAAAAAAAAAACCCTGTTGTTTTATAACTGCCCTCATTAAAACAGCTCAGCCTTCATGTCCCACTGATCCTTCTCCATACCAAGAATAACCCAGGTCCTGCTGAAGATATGGAAAACCTCCAGCTCTAAAGTTATTGCTCTCCATCTTGTCTTCATGCTGCTTTGACCAAGTAAACTGTAGCACTACTAAACTTCTCTTATAAAAATGATCCTTCCTTAGTTAGAAATGCATTAAAGCAGTGAATTACAGAAGACAGAGAAACAAAGGGGTTGAAAAAGCCTACTCTCTCCATACTGACAGAGGAGAATATCTATACAAACAATTCTTTAAATATGTTTTTTAAGCTTTTCTGAGAATTATTGGGAATGAATCCTGCTGTACTTCTATTTTAACAAGATTTTTTATTTTTCCATAGTTTGGTCCTTTTTTTTTTTTTTTTTTTTTTTTTGTATGTTTATTTTTAGTAAATTCTAGATCTATATACATTTGTTCTAGATGGAATGAATCAAATTAAAAATTACTTCTCATGTTTGGTTTTGGTTATTTTGTTCATTTGTTTTTGTTTTATGCGTTAAGCTCATGTGTAAAATACACAAGACACTATCAAGACAAATTGGTATCCTTTTGTCTTTAATTTCCAATCTGAAAAGATTTCGAACTATACAACACATAGGAAGTTGGAAAGCATTCCATAGGGAGAAATAATGAATAAATCAATTTGATGTCTTTCCAGTCTGACAAAACAAAGAAACATTCTGAGCAGAGGTTTTCAGGGACAAAAAAAAACACATTTTCATCTTTTCTTTACAGCGTTAATTTATGCTTTACGTATTTAGAAAGTAGTAGATTTGAAACTTTAAAGCCTGCTGTTACCTCTCTCCACTCGCATTGTTCATGGAATGAACACTGTCACATCGTGATGCCCTGGTAGATTTAAGTACCGTGAATGGTGTACTTGCAGTTACTACACTTCCTTGTTTACTACGGGATGGTTCTTCACTGAAGGTTTTTTTTTTTTCCCCCCAACCACAGCTCTGACCTCAGTCACATCACTGGGAGGAACGTCTTAGGACATTTGGCTCTGCTCCCTTGCAAGAACATCCAGCACTTTGAAATATACTTCAGTCAGTGAAACCAGTTGTACCCAACTAAGCAACAATCTCCTACTACAGAGCAAAACAGAGCAGAAAGAAACTACCTCTTTCAGGGCTCAAGAAGTGGAAACCAGCAAGATGAATTTTCTGGAATATCATCCTCCACCTAATTCCATAGAAAATATTTCTTCCAATCATGTCATATATGGAATCAGTTCTGAGCCCAGATGCTCGTCTTGTGATGCCATTGAATGAAAGGGAAGGAAAAAAGGACTCTAGTGTTCTAACAGCTGACTACAAGATCAGATGCTGATACAGCCAATCCTACGAGCCAGGATTTCAGTTTGGATATTGTATTTAGTCTTGTTTGTATCAATAAAACATGATTTGATGGTATTTTTGACTCTTGAACAGACAGTACTTTTCACCTTAGCTTCTTCTCACAAAAAACTCTCAGGTATTCCAATATTCCAATTTTGATATCATTATCTGGATTTTCTCATGAGGCAGATAAAAATATAGATACAATAAAAACTAGAATCACTATGTATGAGAAAGATCAATGACTTTCCTGCTTGTTAAAAGTCAGAGAAGAATAAAAGACTCTTTTATAAATACAAGTAAACAATACTTCATAAAAAAAAAAAAAAACAAAAAAAAAAACAAAAAAACAGGATTCAATATATTAAAAGAAAAAAAAAAGCCTTCAAAGGTCTTCTTCCAACAATCAATAGTTTCTTTAAGCTTTTCAGAAATTCCTCCTTGACCTTGAACATCCCTGCATGTATTCCTCTGTTACCTCTCCCTCCTACCTGCCAGTGGAATCACACAGGCCTCAGAGAGGTTATCACCAATGGCACAGCACAGACAGCTGTGCTGTAGTTGTTCTCATGGCTACCACCACCTTTGCTATACTGGCTCAGTTTGCAGCTTTTGATGCAAAAAAAATAATCAAAGAAGCTAATAATAACAATTCATACCAAAAGTAGACTCTTCATCCTCAACCTAGTTACTATTGCTGGTGATCAGATAGTAGAGAAGTGGAGACAGGTTCTGCTCTCCCTTCCTTGAACAGCCCACAGGCATTCTGATAATCCCTTCTTCTCTCCATTAATTATGCAGGATGATTAGGAGAGACGTAGAGGTGCTGCAGGCTTGGCTGCCAACAGTCTGCAGTGACAGTCAGAGTTCTTGTCCTCCACAGACACAGCCATTGACACTAACAGCATGCCAGAACACCTCCAGGAAATTAGCTCTTGGAGAGGAGCAGATGGCTTGAACTGAATCCAAGTGAGGCTGAAGTGAACGAATCCAAGCCCAGCCAAAATGCAGGTCCAGAATAGGGATCACGGAAACATCATCTTTCCTTCGTGGAAAAGCACACTGTCCACATTTGCCAAAGCTGTGCCTTGTGTCTGACACTTGGCAAACTCCAGCTGCTCGGGTTGCATCATTAGCCCCTGAACATGTCACTTCTGGGAAGTAATATAATAACTCAATGTGTCTTGAAACTCAACTTGGGAACGGTACACCAACTCCAGCTGGTTGGGAATGGGGAACAACTGCTTTTTCTATGGCTCACGCAGCCAAGAGCACATCTGATTTGCACTCAAGTCTTTCCCAGAGCTCTCTGTCAGCATCTGATGCCAACTTAGGGCCCTGCTCCCATTTTTCAGAGCAATTAGTGTCTTAAGACCCAACTACACCAAAGATGGAATTTTCATCCATGAACACCCATGGTAACAGTACTCCTATGAGAGGTCATAAAGCTCAGAGTAAAGTTTTGAGGAGAACTGTGAAGAAAATATGCCCGTTTTGTCAATAGCTCTGGAGTAATTTTCTTATGGAGATGAGGTAAATCCAGACTGTGGAACACTTCAGACATGATGTCTTTGGGGCAGACTTATTTCATAATTTAATTTATGTGGAGAACTGGAAGAGGCTTTGTGAAGTCCAATGAGGCTGTGAATGCCCACTCACTGGAAGCATTCAAGACCAGACTGGATGAGGCTTTGAACAGAAGGTGTCCCTGCCTATAGCAGGAGGGTTGGAATTAAATGGTCTTAAAGGTCCTTTCCAGCCCAAACCATTCTATGATTCTAAGTCCACTGGAATCTTAACACCTCAGTCGATCTCGCCCACGTACAAATGCTTCAGCAGTTAAATACCCTCAAAGGAATTAAGGAAAAGGAAGGTTTATTTGCACTGAAAGAACTTTGGTTTTCCACCTCTCCACCTTCTTAAGACTTACAGAGAGACATTCTTTTGTAGATGGGCATGATCATATAACCACT